CAACTCACAAGTTGGAAAAAAATTTCCCTCCAATCAACAGCGAGAAGAGAAGATAAGCTCCCAAAGGGTTACAACAAATGTGAAAGCTACAAGCTCGTCAAATCCCCAGAAAGAAATGCCATTTCATACCCAACATTCGGACAGTTCTTTAAGTCCAAATCTTAATGAGGTGGACCACAGTCATCAAGCAGTTAGCTCCAAATTACTACATTGTACTTCACAACTACGGAGATCAGATATTTCCCATGACCAAGCTAGCTGGGGATATGCAAGCTGTGAAGCTAGCCATGACAAGTCACTGGAATTTGTAGAGACACCAAAACCTTCCAAGTATAGTGAACAAAGTGTCCATAGAGAAGAACAAGATGCAAATAACTTGCAGCATGCAGGAACAAGTAATGAGTGGTCTAGTGAGAGCACCAAACGTCAAAGTGACTGGGAAGAGGAAGCGACCAACCAGAATCTAATGGACAGTGATTGTGGTTGGGTAAGTGATTATTCTCACACACCAAGTGGATGGGATGAACTACAGTCTAACTACGAGCAGCAGTCAGAATCCAACCATGACTGGGTAAGTGATATTTCCCGTCCACGTAAAGAGTGGGAAGGCCTTAGACAAGAAAGATACCAAGAGATGCTTGATCCTTTCCAAGACAATAATCATGATATTCGCCAACTTCTTAACAGGTATTACAATTCATGCATCTGATCTGATACTAATCCTATATATTTATTGTAGTAAGGTGTGAACGACTGGCTGTGGTGGGTACGAGGAGAGGTAGAGGGAGACCTAAGAAGTATTGGGGAGAGGTGATCAGGCAGGATATGGCGCGACTTAGGGTTACTGAGGACATGGCCCTAAACAGGGAATTGTGGAGATCGAGCATTAAGGTTGTAGGTTAGGGGAAATTGTGATGTCTTTTCTACAGCGCACTAGAGTGAGACTAGCCAGTTAGGAATTAGTCTTAGGATGTTATTGATCAACTACTGATGATGGGCTTTATCTGCTGTGTATCAATACCTTACATCTTTCTCGTATTTCTTATATCTCTTATATTGCTGTTACTTTGTTATTTTATGGTATTTATGTTATGTTATGGATTTTATGGTATTTTATGTTGTTTTATTATGAGTCTATTGATAGTACTAATAGTGTCTCTTGTTGCCTCTTTGAGCCGAGGGTCTCCTGGAAACAGCCTCTCTGCCCCTCGGGGTAGAGGTAAGGTTTGCGTACATATTACCCTCCCCAGACCCCACTTGTGGGATTACACTGAGTTGTTGTTGTTGTTGTTGTATTTGTTGCACCAGTTGGATATATGTTTTACTTTGGCCTTTGTGTACGATTCGTAGACATTTGCCTGCCCACATTAATGAAGCACAAAGCTTTCAAGGGAGAACCAATAGCAAACCATTAGAATATGATTTCCACTAAGAGTATCAGACAGAAATGAACCGTTGTTACTACATGAAGGCTGTCACTAGAGATCAGACAGAGATCACAAAAATTAAGGCAATAACAAAAGTGAATCCACCTCAGAACATAATTGTCACTTAGAGTATATCAGGCAAACAGGACCGAAGCATGGATCATTTCTGTACTTGTCCGTGTCGGTGTGGAGATAATCTCTGAAAATACGACTTAACCTCGTAGAAGAATGTGACACGTGTTTGATCGAAATGAGATGAGATTCAAGAAAACGGACTTTGCAATTTGGAAAAGGACGTCATAGTTTAGATTTTATAGTCCCCTGCTTGCCAATGAAAGTGATACTCGAGTGAATATAGAGTCTGTATATCTCCTTTAGCTGCCCTAAGATATTAATATTCAGCTTCTGTAGTAGAAGCATAGCCCCTGATCTGCACTTACTTTTGCTCTTCATAATTGTGCAGAAAAAGTGTTTCAATCTTTCTTAATAGTGGTTTGAGAGAGAAAATAGATCGACTAATGGCGTCTCGCTCACAACAACTACCTAATGCAATGACCGGCCAGCTTCAGGAAGAAGTAGAGGCACGTGTACCTAAAGAAAAAGAGAAGGAAGAGGAAATGGTATCACATAATGAAACACGAGGAGGAGAGGCCGAAGATGATGAGGAAGAAGAAGACTCGGGTTATGAGGATGACTTTGAAGATGACAATACACCAATTAGACAACATTACCTCGAACCTGAGGAATTAGTTGATCAGAAGAAAGCTTCACATACTTTACCGTCATGGAGCAATAATCAAGACCGGGGTGTCACTGATGACTCCTGTCACCTTCCGTCTAATTCTTTACCACAATCTCAGTCATCCNGCGAGGACATATGGAGCAACTCCACCAAGAGATATTTGAAATACGAAGATCAATAAACAGCTGCATGAACATGCAAATGAAATTACAACATTCCATTAAGCAGGAGGTTACAGCTGCAATAACTCAGTCAGGTGAGTTGGTTTACTGAAATCTAAATATAAGATGCTTACTAAGCTCCTCCATCATCATTCATAAAACGATTTGATTGTTTTTGTGTTTTCTAACTTCATAAAACCCTTCATAACCTATAAGAAAAACTTGACAGAAGAAATAGCTATATTGTGAAGTCGTTTCACTTCTTATATTCTTTACCTTATTGAACTTTTTTTGGGGGGAACAAGCTTACCTTGTTGAAATTTGTTGCATCATACCATGGTTTTCTTCCTCCTCTCAATCTTTGCACACTTTTGAATAACTATTGAGTAAGTTCCAAGATCTGGCTTCACTTATGGAGCTTCATATACCTGTGATCTTTTTCTTTTCTATTTTTCCTCCCTGTTTGGTTATATACAGAAAGGGAGTAGAGTGTAACATTTTTGTAATGCAGGTCCAATGATTGGGAATAATTCAGATAAGGGTGCAAACAGAGCAAATTGTCGTATTTGCTATGGGGCGCAAGTTGATTCTCTCCTTTACAGGTACTTGGCATTGATTGCAGCAAGAATTTTCACTAAGGCAATTCAAAATACACAAGAAACAAGTAATATTAATCTCTTGGGTATCATTATCCATTCTTTTCAGGTGTGGGCATATGTGCACCTGTTTCAGGTGTGCCCATGAATTGCTTTGGGGCACCGGAAAATGTCCAATATGTGAAACCCCCATAATAGATGTTGTCCGTGCATATATACACTCGTGACGCACAGGTTAACCGGATTTTGTTCTAGAGGACTGCTGATTCCTAACTTTTTGTCCAATGAGAGATGAGCCAAAGGATGATTTTCGTTTTCTTTTCCTTTTTTCTTTTTAATTGAATCTTGTCAGCCATGGAAATATTTATGGCTAATTTATTGTCTATAACAGGTTTAGAGATAGTGGATGAATGCTCACTCTCCTCTGGTTTTCACTAACCATCCTTTGTATACAATAGGAGAAAAGAAAGGAAAGTTCTTTCTGTGATTATTAGCATTGTGTCTTTCAACTTTTTGTATTAACAATTCAAATGAAAATTGGAGAGTTCCTTACATGTAAATATGCTACAAGCAGCTTAGCAGTTTCTTCTCATTGGTTTCTTCTAATCAGAATGAAAATGGGATAAAAACAGTACAAATTGTAGCTTAAAACTCTCACAGAAGCATTAGATTCAATGTAGATCTGATCAGCTAGAGTCGGTGATGCTGCTGAACAGAGCCATGAACACTTGACAATGAAATTTCAGGATTGAGATCTAAAGAAGCCGTTGCTCTAAAGGGTATTTTTATGTTGGTACAGCACATAGCTGAATAAGGCATGTTAGAGTTCCCCAGATTATTGAAAGAAGTTCCCAATACTTTGAGACAGTGATTGCTTTCTGTCTAATAATTATTTACTTGCTAATGCATTTGACACTAAAACTATGACAAGCAAGAGTAAAACTTGGCTGGTAAAACACTCACCATTAGATTTGTTGACTTTCTTGTAGCGTGATTCAATTCACCGCTCTTGTTTTCTTCTTTAGTTCGGGATAAAGTTCTTCGTTGCATTTGTTATAAGAAGCAAGACAAACTTGGCATGTGGAACTCTCACCATTGCATTTGTTGTGTAATTAACCTTCATTAACTTGAGTTTTAAGTATAGTTTCTTCAAAGGGCAACGATAGCCACACAACATTACTATTCTATTAGCTTGTATCACTTTCCAGTTAGCCGTTGAAATCAGAAAAAGGTTCAGCTTAATACTTGGACTAGTGATGCAGACAAAACCCTTGCGACTAGAATGGATGAGTCACGACAACCTGAAACTTTTCCTTCTGTGAGAAAACAAATTATATGATTAAAAGAAAAAAAGGATACATGGCATGTACTCCAGGGGGTAAATCCTCCGTTACGCGTGATAGCAATTAGCTAGCTTTTGAAAAATCTAAGGGGGGAACAGATTTAGTAGATAAAATATGAAAAATCGCATGAAGAGTTGGATTGGCACTATAATATTCCCAACCTTGTCCAGAATAAGGGAGTATACTTCTATTTTTTTTTTATGACCGAGAAATCCATCTGGAGCCGATCCTTTGGACCAACAGCCTTCGAAACTCGGTGGATAACGGGCCCACCCCTCTACCCTTCTCCACTTAAATACCAGACTTTGCTTTGCATGGTGTGGGGACTTGAACCTGTGACCTAAGACACAAATCCACCACCCTTTGTCACTTGAGCTAGGCCCTGGGGCAGAAGTATGCTTCTATTAAAGTTAGCTTTATAAGCATATGATCTGAACATGTTAGGTGCTTGTCAACAAAAAAGTTCTACACATGAAGGAAGACTACAACAGTCTGAGAATCAGTTATACAAGAGCTTTAGCAAGAAAACTGATAGGGTGATACCTTTCACATACAAAAACGCAAATCCAAGATATCCAACTTGTATGTACTTACAATAAAGCGGAAGACGAGTTTCCGTGGTATACTGGAAGAGAGAGAACTGACCAGCAGTGCTTTTAAAAGCGTAAAAAAGGCAACAATGTCTACGAAGCTTGAAGCGAAAAGCAAGAAGTAAAAAGCGCACATTTCTCTGAAGCGAAGCACAAAATTTAAGGATAGTTAAAAAATACCAAACATATATGAATTTAGTACTACATTAGTCAAATTGCATTAATATAACAAAATTTCAGCATCCACTATACAGTAATGCGTACATTAGTCCAACTCCTCAAAGTTGAGATTCAGACAACCGACCAACTTCTCAATTGGATTATTGTGCACATCGTGTTTGAAGCACATGTCTTCATCTGTGAAGCAATAACCCCTTGCTTGGCATCCATCATTTTCCTTGAGCCGCCATTCTCTTACGTATTTCAAATGCTGTATTGAATATTCCAAGCGTTGGCTGGTTGCATACAAAACACTTCTTGTTCTTTGCATGGTGCTGTTAACCACAAAACCCCAAAAAAAAACAAAAAAAAAATTGATTACCTTGCAATTTGCACAAAGGAGAAAAATAGAAGTGAAATAAGTCATAGCTGTGTAATATGATCAATTCACACAAGAGAAAAATAGAAGTGAAAGAATCCTGCTTTATCCTAAGGGGAATCTCATATCCCATCGCCTTGTAGAGCAGGTCTCTACCATTACCACTTGAGATCGGCAATGAGAAGTACATTTCGAATATTTAACAATTCATATAAGTCATATCTGTGTGACCGAGATGACTGCAACTCAAATTAATTTAAGTAGTCTCTAATCTCTATTCTTTGTCGAAAGCCCAACCAATATAAGGGGTAGTTTTTTCTAATTAAGGAAAAAGGTAAATTCCAATACTTGCCGGAGAAGTAACTCTTGCCTATTTCAGTTGGTACTTTTACATCCTAGTGTCAATCTAACTCCACATATACAAAATTTCTCCTGACCATAGTTGCACTGTATATAAAAAAAACAATAAGGAAAGGGCACATTAAGGGCAATATGCACCAAGAAAGTCCACTCTACTGCATTCCTTTCCTTTTTAGGTGGTTGCGGTTGGGGAAGAGGGAGGGGGTAAACTCTATTGCCACCTCAAACAAGAGGTAAAGTTTAAAAACAAGAGGAATAGGTTAGAAACAAGAGGAATGGAAAAGGAACATATAGGAGTTGGTGTTCACAGATTCCATTATGAGATCAAGCAAGCAAGAGAAAAAGGTCAATGAAATTACCTTTAATGCACAATGCTCACAGAAGTAATGCTTGCATTTGGTCATAACGGGGTCAACAAAAGGCTCTCTGCAGATAAAGCAAGCAAATGGTAAGGCGTCATCATCATCTTCATCACTCTTCTCAGCATCCTCATCATCCTCGTCGAGCATCCCCATAGCCAATTTACGTTTCCTCTCTTTCTCAGCTTCGTCCCACTCTTTTTCAATCTGCCAACCAGACTTATAATCTCCACGGTCATGCATAAATTTGCAAGAGTCCCCGTATCCACAATATCCCGTCTCTTTGTAGTCCTTACAAATATCCGGCTGATAGTCAAACCTTGCTGAAACTCTAATGTGGGCAGAAGCCCTGAGAGGACCATGCGCTCCACCAGCTTTCTCACTAGAAATCGTATGTTCCCTTCTCAAACCAGCTTTGTAATCAGTATATTGATTCATCCCCTTGTACAATTTCTCATCCCCACCAGTCTTGCTTTTTCCTTTCAAGGCCCCCTCTGCCTGCTTCAAAGCTCTCTCCCGAATGGCCCGGGCATCCTTAGAGAACTCGGTCTCAGTTTCTAAGGTAGCTGTAGCTCTACTATCATTTTGAACTTGAATTTCTTTAGAGGATTCAAAATGAAAAACTCGAGATTTTGAATCCACATTGGATTCTGTAGCCTTGTTACACTTTGAAGCTCCAGTAGAAAAGCGTAGCTTGTTATCCGCAATGGCTGGCTTTTTCTTGGTATATATGACTGAACCTTCACCTTCTGCATCGTCATTCTCCCCCTCCTCAACCGTAGGACGCTTTCTGATATTTTTGCCCTTGGATGGTTTCTTAAAAAAATTGCATACTGCAAATAGAAGAAAGGAAACAAAAGTATAATAAGAAGAAAAAAATTGAACCAGTAAATTGACAAAAGAATGCAGAAACAAGCTAGAATAGAAAAGGAACTTAGGATTAACATTTGCAAGCATAAGATACATGGATATCTGCAAAACCAGGGATACTAACAAAACCAGTACTTAATGGAACATTAGTTACAACAGCCATGTCCAATGACAAGCTCAAGATGATCACTTGTGACACCAAGCATATGGACTTGAAAAGCTTTTTTCTTTTCATTGCAACTAGAGATGAGCTTAAATGGAACGACATGGTTCGTGAGAATTCATTGCTGAATCCCGACTTACTTAAGATTGAGACGTAGTTGTTGTTTTCGCAACTAGAGAAACAAGTTGGATGAGTTAAGTTCCCATAGCATTTTTTTTGTAGAGCCTTGTATAATTTAATATCATGTGTTTGACGAGATGTGAAGGGCTAAAGCTAATCAGAATAGTAATACTAGTTGAGCTTAGTTGTAATTCCAAATAACTAATCTCGTAATAATACTCTACAAAGTTAAATTGTGATTTCAGTGCTGTAGGAGTACACTCTACTGCTTCACATCAATGTTGTAATTTGGTAGATATTGTGTACTTCGGTCCAAAAATTACTGTTATACAGAAGCTTGATACCATAATATTTTAACCTTGTCCGAGCGGCCAAAAGTGTAATTTTTTTATGCAATTAACCATTAGTAGAGAAAAGAATTTATGAGAGCGCAAATAACCACAAATAAATTGGTTGGTGATTAAGGAAGAGGAGGCTACCGGAACTTGAAGAAGGTGGAGCTGTTGGCGGCTGCTCAGTTTCAGCTTCGGCAGGGTTCGATTCAAACGCTGGAGTATTTGAATTCTCCATCTGACAACACAAATCGTTGGAATCATATTAAATATCGAGCGCGATACAAGCAAAATAGACTGCAAAGCTAAAATAGGGCTAGAAATATGAACCAAAAAAAAAAAGAGAGAGAAATAGGGCCAGATGAAGTTTTCGAGGAGAACGACTTACAGTTATAGAGATCGCTGACGGAATGGCAGTCGGTGGTGGCAGACTTGAGCCCCACGTGCAGCAGAACGACGGTGACGGGGAGGCCCGGAGGTGGATTGGCGGTGGTGAACTGGCGGAGGGGCTGCGGAAGCAGGGGGAGGGTTCTTTTGTTTAACGTCCAGATATACCAAAAATATTGATACTTTTTTTTGTTTGGTTTGGTTTGGTTTTGATTTTAATCAAAAAATAATTGAAAAAAATCGAACCAAACCGACTACAGGGATAGTTATTTCAAATTTATTATTACATATATATATATATATTTCTACAAAGATTCAAAAATTTTATGGTGAATGTTAATTGTTTTTACTTTTAGTATAGTTTTTTACTTTTATATTCTAGTTTGATTTGTAGTTTTCTTAACATGTTAAGTGTAAGAATCCATTTCATGTTAAAAAATATATATTTTTAATTGAATTCTTAAATTATTCATCACTATTTGATTCAATTATCATCAATATATTTTAGTAAATAATAGATTTCTCAAATGGCAATTGATTTGATAGTGTTATGTTAAAAATGTGATCGTCGGAATATGTGTTTGGCAGTGTATGTCTTATATTTAAGAAAAAACTGACAAATAATCAAAAAAATCGAAAACCCGACATAAACTAAATCGAGAAAAAACCAAATTAATTGGTTTGGTTTGGTTCTAATATTTGAAAAACCGACCTATTTGGTTTGGTTTCTTTTAAGGGAAAAATCGATACAAACCGAACCATCAACACCCTACTAGACAGTTTGTAAAAAGAAAAAGAAAAAGTCAACAACAATTACTAATTACTACTGTAATAGTAGAGTTTAAAAAAATACAGCAGGAATTAATAGAAAAACTTAGAAGGGAAAATACTAGATTATTAAATACCGAGCGCGAATCAAACCGCGGACTCTAGATCAAGGGCGATGCCACCGTCCCTCTTTTTTTTTTTTTTTTTTTGTAAACTGGAATTCATTTAAATATTAAATAACATTACAATCATTAAAAGTATTAGATGCACCAAAAGAAGGAGTACCAGACACACAATAGTTACGTAAGTCTGCTACTAACCGGCAAGTATTCAACAAAACATTTCTTGTAGATGTTTTCCCTTGCATGTCCCTAGTAACATGTTTATTTATTGCTACGGGGGTTAATAGCAGATGGACAAACAGAGGCGGATGGAGTGTGAGGATTACGGGTTCAATTGAACCCATAACTTTTGACGCGGAGTAGAAATTTATATGTAAAAATCATTAAAATTGCAAAAATAATAGATTTGAACCCATAACTTTAAATATATAATGGGTTCAATGTTAAAAATCTTAAAAATTGAATCCATATAATTTAAATCCTAGACTCTCCTCTATGGACAAAAATATTAAGGTTGGCATGCTTCATCCCCTCCTTTGCTAATGAGTCAGCTACTAGATTTTGCTCCCGAAAACAATACTTAACCCTCCTCGTACCCATCTGATTCATAAGGGATCTGCATTCAAGGATTAAGTTAGTGAACTTATTTTGTTTGCCATTGATCATTTTGATTACCTCCATTGCATCTATCTCCACTTTTAAAAGATATAATCCATGTGATACAGCTAGATTGAGTCCATGCAGAAGAGCCAATATCTCAACTTCTGTATGATTTGTTATTGGGATGCTAGAGTAATACCCCACTACCCAGTGGCCCTTATGATTTCGAATTACACCTCCTAGAACCCCTAGCCCAGGATTACCCTTAGTAGCTCCATTTGTATTGAGTTTGTATGATTGTAAAGGAGGTGGGTTCCAATTAAGCTTCAAAGTTATATTAGAGTTGTGGTGATGCTCGTTTTGAGTTAGGAGCTTGTATTCCACAATTCTACTTCTGACAATTCTCCACGAGATTGCATTGTTATAGTTATTATGATAATTTTTATTGCGATTTAACCATAAGTATTAAAGGCTGAATGAAAAAATATCTTTCCGTTCGTAGAGGGAATCTTCAGAGGTATAGTGGTAATTCCTCAAATAGTCTAGACAGTGGTTATCATTCTGGCTTATGACAAGGTGTACCGAATTTGGGAGACCTGCACTATTCCAATATAGTCTAGCATGAACACATTCAAAGAAAATATGCATTAAAGTTTCATCCTCACCTCTACAGGTAGTACAATGTCCGTCTATATTTATGCCGATTTTGTGAAGATGAGCCCTAGTAGGAACTTTGTTGTGATAGCATAATCAAAGAAAGTAGTTAATTTTCCTCAGGATATTAAGTTTCCAAATCCAAGAGAAATTCTTACCACTCTATTGTGTGGGAGAGATAAGTTTGTAAGCTAATTTCATGCTAAAGAGGCCAGAATTTGTGTGAGGCCAGATGGAGAGGTCCTCACACGGTTTCTTAGGAATATAGCTACTCTTGATAATATTAGTGATGTTCTCATGAATGCCAAAGGAGATTAGGTTGAGATTCCACTTACCATCACATATTGTTGAACTAACTTTCATGGTTAACTCATCCTTCCTGTGTGGTTCATGTACTGCATATCTTAAAGGCCTATTTAACAGGGGTCCAGGTGGAAGACCACAGAATAATATTTTTTTTCCATTCCCAATCTTCCCGTGCAACCCCTTCATTGTAAAATGACCACCTTTTAAGAATATTATTTCAAATTCTAGTTTTGGGATTGAATCGATAAGTGAGGGTTCTATTGCTATGGGCATTTGTACAGTGCTTGTGTACGAGGACTTGAGCCCACGGATTGAAAGGGTTTGTGAAGAGTCTCCAGGCTAAGCCTATTAACCAAGCATTATATTTTAAATCGGTCTTGATCAAACCAAGTCCTCCTTGTTCCTTTGGGGTAGTCACTATGTCCCACTTGACTATGTGAAGCTTGATTTTCTTATCATTAGAATCCTAGAGGAAGTCAGATTGCATTTTGTCAATATAGTTAGTGATTTTTCGGGGGAGTTTTATATATTGCATCACGTGATTTGGGATGGTATTGAGAGTGAATCTTATAAGAGTGGTTCTACCAGCAATATTTAAAAAATTTGTTTTCCAACCTACAAGTCTAGACTTCATATTGTCCAGCAAAATTGAAAATCAGAATTTTTTGGCATGTTATGAAATATTGGAAAACCAAGATACTTTTCAAAAGTCGTACCTTCCTTAATATTAAGAATATTACAAATATCTTGCTTGAGGTTATTTGTACTATTTTTGGAAAAAATAATCTTAGATTTAGCATAATTATAGTTTCCCCAGAAAAGCTATAAAAGGTATACATAATCTTCTTGATCGAATTACTAGTCTTTGTGGAAGCTTGAGCCATGAAAGTTAGATCACCAACATAGAAAATATGTGATAAACAAGGTCTTACTCTACCTATTTTAATGAGGATCCAGTGCTTCATTTCTACTTCTTAACTTCTTGTGTTATACTTCTTGAGAGTAGTTCAAGGCAAAGGATGAATATGTAGGGTGATAGAGGATCTCCTTAGCAAATGACTCTAGAAGGTTAAAAATAATATGTTCTTGTCCCATTGACGAGCACAGAGATACTAGTGTTAGTGATACAATTCATGATGAGATTCGTGATATTGTTCGGAAAGTTAAAGAATTTAAAGGTAGTGTGGACAAAGGGTCATTCAAGTTTATCAAAAGCCTTTTCTAAATTGATTTTGATTAGCATATTGACTTTTTTTCCTTTCATTTTGTTGAATGAAGAGATGATTTCTTGGATAATTATAGCATTATCTGAAGCTTTTCTATTTTTAAAGAAGCTCGATTGGAAGGGGCCTATAATCTTATGCAAAAAAGATTTAACTCGATTAGCAATGATCTTTGCGATCACTTTATAAATGGTGTTACAAAGGCCTATATGCCGAAAAATTTTCAGGTTATTTGCATTATCAATTTTAGGGATTAGGCAAACATAGGTATTATTCAGAGCAGAGGGTATTGCTTGATTGTGAAAAACCCCATGGCATAAGTTGGTAACTGACTCTCCTACGATATCCTGGTATCTTTGATAGAAGAATGGATGAAGGCCATCCGGTCCTGGGGATTTGAATGGTTTAAAAGAGGGGAGAGCATTTATGATTTCTTGGTTAGAAATATTTCCACCTATATGAACTATCTTCAGTTGAGAGGATATTGTGAGTACTCATAGGAGCATTTGGGTATTTGGGGAAAATTTGTGGTCTGTACGGTAGAGTTGATTTAAAAAGTTGTAGGTGTGTTGAATGATTTCTCTAGGCTCATAAATCCAATTTCCTTGATCGTCCTTAAAAGATACTATTCTATTACGCCTATGCCTATTCAAAGCTGAGATTTGAAAAAAACTAGTATTTGTGTCCCTATAATTTAGCCAGTTTATGCAGGACTTCAGTTTCCAGAAATCTTCTTCTAACTTTAAAATGTCATTATAGTCTCTCACTAAGGAGGTCTCCAAGTTCTTGAGAAAGTCACTAGTGGCATATCTCGGAGAATTCTGTATTCTCTGTAAGCGCGCCAAAATTGATCTCTTTCTCCTAAATATGTTACCAAATTTATTGGTGTTCCACCAAGTTACATTATACTCAAAAGTTTTTGTAGCATGCATAAGGTCCTCGGTATTCTGCCAACTATTACTAATAATGTTCTTAAGGTCTGGGCTAGAACACTAAATAGTTTAAAACCTAAAAGGTTTTTTACCAATATTAGAAGGTTCATTAATTGAAGTAGTAAAGGGTTGTGCTCCCAGTAGGTCTTTGGAAGATGGTTTACTATATCATCTCCAAATAAAGATACTCAATCATTATTAACAAAGATTTTATCTAGCCTTTCTAGGATTAATGAAGGGGTTCTCTTTCTATGATTTTCATTGTCGTAAATTCGATCCTGAATATGGAAAACAAAGACCTGTCTAGAAACCACGATATAATTTCACGCTATTTTAGTTAATAAAATAGTAATTACATAGTCAAATAATTTTATAATATAGTAATTTTAATGACTTGTTTTTTTCATAGTACAATTATAGTGTAATTCTCAATATCAAATTTAATTATAAAAAAAATACCATGTAAATAAGGTTTACTGTGTAACAAATACATAATTATATAAAAAATATTTAAAATGAAAAAAAAAAGTCATTTGGTAATTAAAATACCATATAATTACCCCCA